ACTTTGTTAACATTGTCTTATTTTCTGTTTGACAGCTCATGTGATTATTGGAGAATAAATGAGGATACTAGGATAGCTGCCTGTACCCATTGGGGAAGGTACTGGATCAGAGGGAAAAGCAACCCTATTGTCTGTAAAATGTAGTTTGGAAGGTGGTGTTCGGCGCAAGAATGATGTCTTTAGATAGTCTCTTCACAGATGGATAGCTGGGTAGACTCCTGAGCGGATATAATACACGGTTATTTCACCCATTTGAGTTATTGGTGCTGTTTTATTTTTCTAAATGGCATTTATGCCTCATTATAATATTTAAATTGCCAAATATTAGCCCTTGCATGAATTTCAATTAAAATGGTTAAATCACAAAATTGCCTGTTATTGCTTTCCTTTTGAGTGTTCCGGTGGTGTAGGTCCACTATGCTGGCTTTTATTCCTTTCCAGTATAGGAGACAGGGATGGAAGAAAAACAAAAATTATTTTACATACATAGCAAGAAATTATTAAATGAGCCTGGGGATGTCAACTTATGGTAAGTTATCTACTTATCAAGTTCTCTTCTTGAGGTCCCTTTTCTATTTTTTTATGAGCATTTTCTCTCTTCAAACAGGTACTGCATTTTCTCTTTTTATGATTATTTAACATTAGCCTGAGCAATCTTTTAAAGATTTAAAGCTAACATTTAATGTCGAATCAGCATTGGAGGTTCGGTAAGGTAAACTAGTTAGGTAAGATAGTTCGCGGGTAAGATTCTTATACTTTTATATTTCAGAATGATATTAAAAGACTAACATATTAGAAAATATTTTATTTTTTTAAAATTAAATCATTATAACAATAACAGTAATATTATTCGTTATAACAATATTAGTAGTCATAACATTTGATGGTGACTAAAATAATGATGAAAATAATAAAAGAAGTGATTGAGGACAATAATTCTCTTGGGAGTGTACGTAATAGTATTAGTATAAATTGCAATAATATTAATGATAGTAACAATAATTCGGTGTCCGTGGCAAAAACAGCACCAAAAACAGTGTGATATACATTATTCTAATTTTATATAATATTTAATAGAATTTTAATAAAACGTAGCTTAATAAATATATTTTATAATTATAAATGAATTTCAAACAAATTCCAAAAGAAAAACTGAAGTTTAAGTTTGACAAATATTCAAAGCTAAAACTCTTTTTTCATTGGTGACAATTATAGAATGGTTAATTAGGATAACTCAATAGTAAAATCCATCCATATTTCATACTCCACGTCAAATCCTAGAAGCCAAGTATGCAGCTTTTTTGAAAGAAGACGTAAATAATGCATTAGCAAAATGAGCTTATAAATTGGTTTTGGGACAAAGCTACTATAGTTTGTTTTGGAAGCCTATGTGGCTGCAATATAGCTGGTTCATTGTTCTTTCAGATAATTTATATAAATTTACATAAATCAAATATAGCAATTAACTATTTAGCCCAAAAAAAAAAAAAAAGCGGTTTCTGCTTCAGTCTTCAAAGAATTAGTGGTGCTACGTTGTTGAACATGGGCACTTATTCTCTTCAACCGCCAAACATAAGAAATATAGGTGTCATTTTGCTTAAGTGCATCATTACATGTGAAGTTTGTCACCCATACGTCCTATTATTCAACTTCTTGTACCTAGGGTGATTTCTTTGCCTTGAAAAAAGTCACAACCGCAAAATTGTAAAAGAGTTTGGAGTTCATGCACATAATCTATTAGGGATTTTGTCGTTCTAGTAAAATTTCTATGTAAAAATTTATTCATCTACTTTCATAATAGATCTATTAGAATTAATGCATACAGAAGTATTTTCTGTCAAATTTCTTTATCTGAATTGCTCCTTTTTTTTTGCATGTCTAGAAGATAGTAGAAAAAATCTTTTATAGAATTAACATAAATTTCATTGATTTTGAGACTATATTTAGATTAAAAAAATTTGGTAATTAAATAATACTAAATACTACCTGATATGATATTAATACAAGTGATATAAATACTTATTAATAAGATACCTATTAGTTATTGAATATTAGGTATTATGCATAAAATTTTACATCAAACCATCTAATCTAACTCGTTCGAACTTGATTTGATTCAATTTTTTTGTTAAAGTGCAAGTTCAAGTTCGGACATATTTAAATACCTATTAGGGATAATATTTTACATCAAATTGTCTAATTAACTCATTCGAACTTGATGCAAATCGATTTTTTTTTTTTCTTGGTAAAGTGCGGGTTCAAGTCGGG